TATTATATATCTATCATATATCTAGTATATTTATAATATCTTTATATCTAAGCTCATTGGAGGTATTCTCACATATTCTATAGAAAGATGCATTTTAGTTGTGTATGTGGGATCCACGGTATATGTAGATTGCCATATTGGGAGTCCGGAAGGGGTTCTTTTCCTCCCTTTGAGACATTAATTTGCCATAAATGTTTCATTATATTGAATTATCAATTGTCTAACATAACAGAATAGATACTTCTAAAGTTTATTAAATTCTCTGGTCAGGCACTTAGATTTTTTCCTTGTTCAGCCCCATGAGGCTAAGTAAGAAAAAGCTCTCAATTCCTCCATCCATGCTACTAGCATGGATATGAGAATTCCCCGGCTGGTCTATTGTATTCTTATTGGCTGCTGACTTTAAGCAGTGTATGGCCAAATTAAAGTTTGGGGAAGAAAGGGAAAACCTCACTATACGTTTGTAATATGTTCCTATTCACACAGCATTTCTAATTTCCTTTTAGATAATTATTTGGTGAAGGCCTTTGTGCAGATTCTAAGCTACAACAAAACACAGAGCAAGCACCACCTCCTAGTGCAGTATGTTTATTGACCAAATGATAAAATAAAAGATTATGAAGATGATGAAATAAAAGAGTAAAAAGGTTCTACTCACTATTCTTAAAGGAAACCCGGCATATCAATAACAGAGTCAGATAGTCCAAGAACGCTTTATAGTGGTAGGTGTACCTCAACAGGAAGGTCTTGCTCTGAGGAAGGGGTTGGTTACCCCAAAACACATTAGCATGGCCTCCCCTTTTTGGGTGCACCTACCACTATACAGCTTATTTTTTCTGACTGGACACAACATAGTGAGTCGGCCGCAATGCAATCGAGCCGGAACGCGCTGTGTCTGGTGTTAACGGGCCCTAATCCAGACACAGAAGTACAACAAACAACAAGAAATAAAAAACAGCAACATATAATGGAGAGTTAAAGAAAACAATGAACAAACAAAAACTTTTCTTCTCCTTTTGCGCTTATTCCAACCATGTGCAGAGACCTGTGACTGTCTTTTCTGTACTTGATCAATGCAGGTCTGTGCAAGGGCACAATTGTTTTCTATGTGCCCCATTCACACCACAACTGAACAGAGAGGTTCGGAAAAATGCACTTAAAAAAAAACTCTTTGCAACTCATGTGGAATTAGGCATAAGAGAGACACAGAGTTACCCCTTGTGTTAGAACAAAAGATTTCTTTACAATAAAACTGTGGAATGCAGTAGAAATCTTGAAATACTTGTCAGGCTAAGTTTTTATCGGGGAGAGAAAATTAAACTCTAGTCTGAGCACTTGTCTTGCAGCAGATGGTATCTGAAGCAATAGTTGAATCACTAGTATGCTCTGTGGATGGCACAATCAAGAGGCTGACTCTTTTCACATCAGCTGACTACATCTACACAACAAGGATATAACTGAATAGTAAATTATGGATTAAAGATTTATACCCTTCTCTAGTGCTCCATACTTCAATAAAAGCCACTGAAGAAATAAAAATATATATACTGATGTATTTAATTGTTATTGATGACTTAAACCTGTAAACATGGTTTCTGATCATTAGCAAACTTTGTGGTCATTCCATCTATATCCGTGGTTCTCAACTGCTGGGTCGTGACCCAAAAGTGGGTCGCAACCCCATATTCAGTGGGTCGTGGCATGCTGTCCACTGCACTAGGTGGCATGTTCCTCTGCCTCCCCCTTAGAGCAGCACTGTCAGTTCTCGTGTCTAGCAGCCATTCAAAATATGCTGCCTGGCACCGAGTGTCAGCTTGCGTTAGGGTGAGCTGGGGGTATGGCCGCGAGGGAGCTCCATCCATACATGCATTGCTTACAGCTCCCTCGCGTGACCAGAGTGACATCACATTCTGGCTCCCGGCACCTCTATAGGGAGTGCAAGGGAGCTATACAAGCAGTGCATGTTTGAATGAAGCTCCGTCACAGCACAACAGCACACACTGAAGCCCTAAAATTTTTCTGGGAGTGTGCATGTGTGTGTGAGAATGTCTGTGAGTGTGTGAGATTGTGTCTGTGGTTGTGTGTGTCTGTCAGTGTTTTAATTGCAAACTACCATGCAATTGCACCTACTGTTCGTTCTGGTGCATGAGGTGCGTTGCGTTGTCATTCATTTGAATGGCACCCCAGCACACCTGCCACCC